TTTATTAGTATTATTACTCTTCCTTTCTTTCTCTCTTTTTTCTCTTTTTCCCCCTACTTTACTAAAAAATATTGTTCCCACTCTTTTTATGTAAACAAGCTGAAAACAATTATCTCTATAATTACTTTTCTTCGTTCCTACTCTCAAGGAACAATTTTTTATTCTTAATAAAAATAACTTTTAAAAAAGAATCCTTTATTCTGGAAAAAATAATCTTGACTCAAGTTCTTTGAAACGCACTGTAACAGTTGGTCACATCTTGAAGGACACGGCTTATCAAGACTAATCTGAATGGATTAATTCAAATTTGAGAAGAAGTTAGGAGGGGAAACCACTGCTTTTGTAATATTTTTTGGACTCTATTTAAAATTAAAACCCTAAAAAAATCCTTGTCATTTTTGTTGTTGTCCTTTAATTAAATCCATTGTCCTGTGTACATTCCAAACAACAAAAGATTCATACGCAACTATTTTAGTTGTGTGCACAACCACAAGGCCAATTGTTTCTTCTTTAAAGTACCAGACTTTGACATATCCTTATGTCAGCTTAAACTATGCCAGAAACCTGTATTCATGCCTACGCAGTTCCATTAGAGCCCTCTTAGGCTAATTAATCATCTTGCCTTACAGATCTGCTTCTGTTGAATTGTGTTCCAGCATTAGGAGGAGGACTGAGGAGAACTAGAGAAACACAGACTTTTGGTGTGGGGTTGTTCTCACTTTTCTGTAGGAAACAATACAATAAAGCCTGAGTTGGGAAAGAGCAAGGTTCTAGAGCAGAGCTTTCAAAACATTTCATGTTGGTGACACACTTTTTGGCTATACATCATTTTATGACATAGTTTTACTTGCAAATCAGAGGTTGAACCAATCCTTTATAAGAGATACAGGCACATACATAAATTGTAAAAATGAAACGTACTTACTTATGGGATCCCTTGGCCTTTCAAGTGTAGCATCTTGGCAGTGGATATGTAGGTGGCTGTGGAGCCCTATTCTTGACCTGCATGTTCTTCCACAATGAGGGCATCGGTTTCCAGGTGGAATGCAGTCCTGGTAAGGGTTGACTTGACACGCCTTCCTCTTGGCACATTAATTTATTTATTTAGGGCTTTTGTATCCCGTCCTTTCTCAACCTCCGCAGAGGGACTCGGGACGGCTAACAAAGTGGCACCCCATGGCGCCCACATCAAAACATAAATATACAATTAACAGCAATGTAATAATAACAATATAAAACAGTATAAACAGTATAAAACTGTATAAACAATATAAAAACATTATAAAAACAGACAACAAATAGTCAGTGGTCACCGATTTAAATCATTATCCAAGGGCAGTCCATCAGATCTAAATAAGTCAACATGTTAGTAGGTCAGCCTATTCTCCAAAGGCCTGATCCCATAGCCAAGATTTCACTTGTTTCCGGAAGGTTAAGAGGGATGCAGCAGATCTAATTTCACTCGGGAGGGCCACCACAGAAAAGGCCTTGTCCCTTGTCCCCGCTAGACGCACTTGTGATAATGAGCAGGGTTTCCTCAGATGATCTTAGGGCCCTAGGTGGATCGTAGCAGGAGATACGTTCGGACAAGTAAACAGGGCCAGAACAATTTCTCCCTTTCGCCTTCTATTCATGCCTTTTCAAATTCCTCAGCACTGCTGGTCATACCTGACCTCCAGCTGGAGCACTCAAGGGCCAGGGCTTCCCAGTTCTCAGTGTCCATGCCACAGGTTTTTGAGGTTAGCTTTAAGCCAATCTTTTAATCTCTTTTCCTGCCCACTGAGAAACCATGAAAATGAAGGAAATCTGGCTACCAGTATTAAAAAACTAATGGCATAACAGTAAATACAGAACAACTCAGAAATGGAAAATCCAGACAACAATCAGGGCCAGCTAATCGCCTCCCAGCAAAGGATCCCCCAGGCAGTAAGAAGCCAGACTTCTGCTAGGCCATTAAATGCAAATTAAGGTGGTCAATTGAAATGTTCACACGTACCTCACACAAACAAGAGTTCTTTCTCCCACCCTGGATATTCCACATATATATAAACTCTGTTTTCCTAGTTTCCAACATACATCACAACCTCTGAGGATGCTTGCCATAGATGTGGGTGAAACGTGGGCATACAGCCCGGAAACATGGGCATACAGCCCGGAAAACTCACAGCAGCCCACCAAATTCCGCTTTCCATTCTTGAATTGGGAGTATAGTACCTGTTTGGGAGACCAGGCATTCAGACGACGTGGCCGGTCCAGCGGAATTGATGATGGAGGACCATCGCTTCAATGCTGGTGGTCTTTGCTTCTTCCAGCACACTGACATTTGTCCATCTGTCTTCCCAAGAGATTTGCAGGATTATTCAGAGACAGCGCTGATGGAATCGTTAGAGGAGTTGCGTATGACGTCTGTAGATAGTCCACGTTTCGCAGGCATATAGCAGGGTTGGAAGGATAATAGCTTTATAAATAAGCACCTTGGTATCCCTACGGATGTCCCAATCCTCAAACACTCTGCTTCATTCGGAAAAAATGCTGCACTCGCAGAGCTCAGGCAGTGTTGTATTTCAGTGTCAATGTTGACTTTTGTGGAGAGGTGGCTGTCAAGGTAGCGGAAATGGTCAACATTTTCTAATGTTACAAAATTAAGTTGCATTTCTGGCATTACAGACGGATTGACTGCTGGAAGAGCACTTTGGTTTTTCCAGTGTTCAATGAGAGGCTGAGCTCGTATGCTTCTGCAAAGCTGTTTAGAGTGGCCTGTAGGTCTTCTTCTCAATATGCACAGACTACATTATCATAAGCATATTGAAGTTCTATAACAGGTGTTGTGACCTTGGTTTTGGCTTTCAGTCTGCTGAGGTTAAATGGCTTGCCATCTGTCTGATAGATTATTTCCACTCCAGCGGGAAGTTCCCCATCAGAACTCACTATAAACAAACTGAGCAATATAGGTAACCAATAACAACAACAACAACTTGTGATCCACTTGTGATCCAATGTGTGATCCAATTCAACAGCCAGCAGAGTGTCTGCTGTGGATTCATCTTGTGCTTCAAATAATAATAAATACATCACACAGTCCTAGACGCTTGGGAAGTGTTCGACTTGTGATTTTGTGATACGAAATCCAGCATATAGATCTCGTTTGCTGTGACATACTTTGTCTCTGAATAATAATAATAATAATAATAATAATAATAATAATAATAATGTGATGTTTTTAAACGATTGTTTGTGATATTGTTGTTGGAAACTGGCCTGAGTCCCTCTATAGAGGTGAGAAGACCGGTATATAAAAATTCTAAATAAATAAAATAAATAAATAATTATTATAATAATTATTTGCATTCCACTTTTCTCTCTTGATCTAAATGTAAAGTAGCACACAACCTTAAAAAGTATACAGTTTAAAAACCTGCAAAAGATAAATATTAAAACAGAATAAAACTTTAGAAATATAAAAACAATTCAGTTTAAATCTCATTAAGACAGATTAGGAAAAATGAAAAAGCAATTCAATGTAATGCAACTCAGTATAAGCAAACTGACTAAACAACAACAATAATACTAATTGTTCGTATTCTGAATTTCCCAAGACCCAAAGCAGCTCCCAATCTTAAAAACTACACAATTTAAAAACCAACAAATACTATATGCAATATATATACACACAGACACATACATGCCCACACATGCATACTATATATATGTGTGTGTTTGTGTGTGTGTATTAGTAATAATAGCAAATATATATATTTACTTTATATATATAAGTGATAATAGTATATATATATATTACAAATATATATAGTAAATATATTAGTAATAATAGTAAACATATATTTACTATATATATGTGTGTGTGTGATAATAGTAAATATATATGTTTACTATTATTACTAATATATTTACTAATATATTAATAATAATATATTATAAGAAGTGATAATATATATATAACAAATATATAGTAAATATATAGGGAAGGCTGAGCGAAGGAAGATCGATGCTTTTGAGCTGTGGTGTTGGAGGAAAGTGCTGAGAGTGCCTTGGACTGCGAGAAGATCCAACCAGTCCATCCTCCAGGAAATAAAGCCCGACTGCTCACTGGAGGGAAGGATACTAGAGACAAAGTTGAAGTACTTTGGCCACATCATGAGGAGACAGCAAAGCCTAGAGAAGACGATTATGCTGGGGAAAGTGGAAGGCAAAAGGAAGAGGGGCCGACCAAGGGCAAGATGGATGGATGGCATCCTTGAAGTGACTGGACTGACCTTGAAGGAGCTGGGGGTGGTAACGGCCGACAGGGAGCTCTGGCGTGGGCTGGTCCATGAGGTCACGAGGAGTCGGAGACGACTGAACGAATGAACAACAACATAGTAAATATATTAATAATAATAGTAAACATATATTTACTATGTGTATATATATATGACATGATAATAGTATATATATATTACAAATATATATATAGTAAATATATTAGTAATAATAGTAAACATATATATTTACTATATATATAAGAAGTGATAATAGTATATATATATATATATTACAAATATATATAGTAAATATATTAGTAATAATAGTAAACACATATATATATGTGATATATATATATATATAAAACAAATATATATAGTAAATATATTAGTAATAATAGTAAACATATATATTTACTATCTATCTATATATATAAGTAATAATAGTATATATATATATATATAACACATATATATAGTAAATATATTAGTAATAATAGTAAACACATATATATATGTGATATATATATATATATATAAAACAAATATATATAGTAAATATATTAGTAATAATAGTAAACATATATATTTATTATCTATCTATATATATAAGTAATAATAGTATATATATATATATATATATATATATATAAAACACATATATATAGGAAATATATTAGTAATAATAGTAAATATATATATTTACTATTATTAAAACAGTTCAGTTAAAACCCCATTAGAACTGCAAGAAAAAAATTCAGTAGAATAAAACTCAAAAGAAGCCAACACACCATGCCACCAAACTCTTATCAGACTTCAAAAGAACGTCAAAAGTAAGCCAGGCGAAGCTTATTGGGCGGTGAGTTCTGAGCGATTGTGACGTCACCCTTAGCAACAGCCCCGGAGGCTCGCGTCCTAGCAACGGTCCCGCCCCCTTCCATTCATACATTTTCTTTGCTTCCCCAGGAGTTCTTTTCCTTTCCTTCTCTCCCTTGACTTGGAGGAAACCAGTCCCTTAGCTTTGCATTGATGGGGAAGGAAAGTGGCTGGCAGGGAAATGGGGCAAGCATTTTTTTTAAGTTTTGAAGTCAAGTGAACAAAGGAAGCAAAGGATGTGACAGCCACTTCCAAACCTCCATAGACCATCACAGTCTACCTGGCTTTTGCTTGGGCCTGAATATGTTGGACACCATCCAGACTGCAATCCTGGAAGGAGGCAGGAATGTGTTCCTTACACTTCCCAAACTCACTTCGGAGGGTAAGCTATATTTCTAATTATTATAATATTATTGTTATATTATTATTATTATTATTATTATTATTATTATTATTATTATTATTATTGTGTGTGTGTGATATATTACCCTATTTATACCCCATCTTTAAGCTTACATATATTTCTTTACTACACATTTTAAACTCTTGCTCACCTGGGTTAACCATGAAGCTAATAATATAATTATTTCAGATTATTTCAGATTTTGGATTATTTGCGTATCTTGGGGAAAGGACCCAAGACTAAATATCATGAAATGAAAGTGATTTTATACACAATATTTCAAAATACTTTTGTGCACGAAGCCACGTTTGCATGCATCGAACCATCAGAAAGCCAAGATCTGTTATTTATTACCCTTTCTACACAGCCATATAAAATCCAGGTTATCTGCTTTGAACAGGATTATATGGCAGTGTCAAGTCGTATAATCAAGTTCAAATATACAAGAGATACTTGCAGGAACACCTCAGCAAGCAAGAGTCCAAAAGTGGCAGGCTAAAACCTAGTACCTCAATCAGTGGCTGATACAAAATGAAAGACTCCCTCCTGGGCACACAGAAAACTGGGCAACTTGGAAGGCACTGAACAGACTGCGCTCTGGCACCACAAGATGCAGAGGCAACCTTAATAAATGGGGCAACAAAGTGGAGTCCACAACATGCGAGTGTGGAGAAGAGCAAACCACTGACCACCTGCTACAATGCAACCTGAGCCCTGCCACATGCAACACCAGAGGCACTCCAAGTGGCCAGCTACTGGTCAAAGGACATTTAGTATAATGCCAAGGTTTTTAAACTTTTTTTGTGTGTTTTTAAATACATTACAACTGTACCGTTAATTCGCTTCTGACACAATAAATAAGTAAGTTCAAAGCAAATAATGTGGATTATGTGCTTTGATAATCTGGATTATATGGCAGTGTAGAAGGGGACTTGGTCTGACCCTTATATTCTTGCTCAGACAGGTTGTGTCTCTCATATTCTTATAGGAATCTGAATGTCCGTCTGAACAGACCAAACAGATTTGATGTAATTGAATGAATGAGTTAAACAGAGACATTCCCTTTTATACGTTCTACTCTTTCTTCTTATATATTGCTTGCCAATCTGTCTCGCTCTGGCAGCTGAGCTCTTGTAATGTCACTCACAACACACTCATTTCAGTCATCTGCAATATTATTTTGGAAATTTCCACTAAAGACATGAATTGTTTGAAGCACCAGATGGAACTGTTTCACATAAAACAACATTGCTTTCGTGAATGAAGTACAAAAGGCTTTGTTCAGCTTTACTGTCTCTGTTGAAATGTCAAGCGAACACTGGAAATTAGGGCACTTCCACACAGCTATATAACCCTATAACCCAGAATATCAAGGTAGAAAATCCCACAATATCTGCTTTGAACTGGGGCCGGATCCAGACAGGCCTTTATTCCAGGAGAATTTGCGTTTTAAAAATGCAGATTTTCCTGGGGAGCTGTCCAAACTCACCCCAGAAAGTGCATGCTTTCTGGGATGGGTGTCCAGACATTCTCTTGGGACTAGCCCAAAAGAACGTCTGGAGGCCCTAACTCCAAGCCCCTAGACCCCTTAGAAAAGTAATAAAAACTTACCCGTCCTCCATTACAAGCTTCAGCTGGCTCTCCCAGTGTGTAGAAATGATGTGCAATTCCCCTGCTTTCCTGGCGTGTCATTTCTATGTGCTGGGAGAGCTGCCCGAGGCTTGTAATAGAGAACAGGTAAGTTTTTATTACTTTTCTAATGGGTTTGGGGGCTTGGGAGGAGTATTTAGCCTGGGAAATGTCAGAAATACTGTCTGGACTGCAGTATTCTGCAGTCCAGAACTGGAAATAGTCGATATCCTCCATGCCTTCCAAAAAGGTGCAAAATAAAACCACTGTCTAATTAATTAGCTACAAACCAGGATTTTCCTGGTTTGAAATGAATTAATTTGGGACTGTCCAGTAGATACTGCAATAATGGTCCTGTCTGAACCACACTCAGATAATGTGGGATTTTCTGCCTTGATATTCTGGGATATAGGGCTTTGTGGAAGGTGCCTAAGAGGCAGTGATCCAGAGTTCAATGATCCATAGTTTCTACAAGCTGTTGTTGTTGCTGCTGCTGCTGCTGCTGCTGTGTGCCTTCAAGTCATTTCTGACATATCATAGGGTTTTCTGGGGCTGAGAGTATGTGACTCACCCAAGTGGGTTTCCATGACTGAGATGGGAATCAAACTCTGGGCTCCAGAGTTTATTCCAGCACAAAAACCACTATGCCACACACCCCTCTATAGGGCTGAGGTCTTATAATAAATATGTCTTTCTTTACATTTCAGAGATCCTTGGCATCTGGGACACTGTTTCTGGGTTTGTTGAAAAGCAGCTCTCCATGAATAAGGTGGGGCTCATCCTGTTTATTCACCTGCTTGAATTCTTACATTATGAATTATTCAAAAGCTTCAGGAATATATGAGAGCGTATGAAGTTGCCGTATACTGAATCAAACCATCGATCTATCTTTAGAGCCTAGTACTGTTGTCCCTCCATATTTGTAGTTCCGACATTTGGGGATTTAATGATTTAAGATTTGATAAAAACATTCTCCCAAGGCATCTCGAGATCCTTTGCTCATGCTGGTAGATCTAGAGATTTCTGGAGATAATAATAATACACTTTATTTATCTCAGCCTTCTCTCCTAGGGGACTCAGAGCGGATTACAGCATTTACATACATAGGCAAACATTCAGTGTCTTTACAATCATATATAATGGGACACACAAACAAAAACAAAGGCAGAGGCTTCTCCTTTCATTTCCGGCTTCTGGAGGCAGTGCTCACCTCTGGCTCTGGGAGGTGCTTTTCTTCTCCATTTTCAAGCCGAGGAGCCTGCGTTGTTGCTTCCTGGTTGTGTGGCCAGCAAGATTGCTTGGAGCATCCCTTACCTTTTCCTGCTGAAACGGTACCTATTTATCTACTCACATTTGCATGTTTTCCAACTGCTAGGTTGGCAGGAATTGGAGCTGACAGATGGGAGCTCACCCTGTCTACCAACCTTCAGATCACCAGTTCAGTTAACCTTCAGATCCACAGTTCAGTAGCACAAAGGTTTAATCCATTGCGTCACTGTGGCTCCTAGGAATATCTAGATCCTCCAATGTGATTCTGTGGCCATTTTTTCTGCCAATGTCAACAATAGAGCCATACTGGAAGATATATAAATCCCTATAAAGATATTTCTGCGGGTAAAAAATTCTTTTATTCATGGTTTTTTACTTTCATCGATTTGCCTACTTAAGTTTGAGCCTGACCTAAGTTTTCTGTTGGATCCATCCAACTCTTAGCTCGTGTCCTTAACCACTATATAACTCTTGCTCACAATTCCTTCTTTTTCAGGGTGTCTTAATACCAGGGCTGGGGACATTTTCCTTCTTCAGACAAAAGTTTGAAGTTGGAGGTTGCAAGCCCCGCATCATACAGCGGCCTGTTTTCCTTCTATCTGAGAAACTTGCACAGGTCCATGGACTGAAGATGAATAAAATACACACTCCAGGTGAGAACCCCGGTTGTAGTGCAATGCTTTCCTTCACACCCGTGTGTTTGTATTTATATGTATTGTACATGTTTATTACTTAACTTGAGCAGGTATTATGTTGATTAGTCCCAACTAAAGCAGACTAATTCAGTCATTGAATGCTCAATCAACATGAGATACCGCTGTTGGATTCAATGGGTATACTCCAGTCAGAACAGTGGTTCTAGGTTGTATCAATAGGAGTAGTAAGTGCTACCACGACTATTCTCCTTTTGTTAGACTTCATCTGGACTAAGGTGACCAGATCAGGAAAGATATTGTCAAGCTGGAATGCATTTATTTCTTATTTATCTACAGTAATTTATATTCTGCCCTTCTCACCTTGAAGGGAACTCAAGAGTGGATCACAGAATCATAGAATCAGAATCAAAGAGTTGGAAGAGACCTCATGGGCCATCCAGTCCAACCCCCTGCCAAGAAGCAGGAATATTGCATTCAAATCACCCCTGACAGATGGCCATCCAGCCTCTGTTTAAAAGCTTCCAAAGAAGGAGCCTCCACCACACTCCGGGGCAGAGAGTTCCACTGCTGAACGGCTCTCACAGTCAGGACGTTCTTCCTCATGTTCAGATGGAATCTCCTCTCTTGTAGTTTGAAGCCATTGTTCCGCGTCCTAGTCTCCAGGGAAGCAGAAAACAAGCTTGCTCCCTCCTCCCTGTGGCTTCCTCTCACATATTTATACATGGCTATCATATCTCCTCTCAGCCTTCTCTTCTTCAGGCTAAACATACCCAGCTCCTTAAGCCGCTCCTCATAGGGCTTGTTCTCCAGACCCTTTATCATTCTAGTCGCTCTCCTCTGGACACATTCCAGCTTGTCAATATCTCTCTTGAATTGTGGTGCCCAGAATTGGACACAATATTCCAGGTGTGGTCTAACCAAAGCAGAATAGAGGGGTAGCATTACTTCCCTAGATCTAGACACTATGCTCCTATTGAACACATATATGTCAAACATTCAATGACAAGGCAGACAACTTTACATAGTAGAGGTATACAGGCTTTCCCATCTTTGGCATCTTGGAGGCTGTGCTCGGTTCCGGCCCCGGTGTGAGTGTGTGTGTGTGTGTGTGTGTGTGTGTGTGTGTGTGTGTGTATGCTGTCGCTCCATCTCTCTGCTGAAGAGCTTTGTTCATAAACTTCCTCCTTGATCACATTGCTGGTATTTTCTGGTATTTCCTTATGGATGCCTTAAATACCACCCTGCGTAAAGCGGTACCTATTTATCTACTCATATTGCTGTTTTTTATCTGCTAGGTAGGCAGAAGCTGGGCTGAAAGCCATGAGTGTTGGGTGAGTGGGCTTATCAACAAAAGACCATCATCATAAATGTACAACAGAGTAACTTCTCAGCAGCAGCATGACCCATCACCAGTAGCCAAAAGGGATAAATAGAACAAAAACACATAGACCCATGTTATCTCTTCCATAGAAGGCTTTTCTTTATAGAAACATAATATGGTTGTACTATTTACAAGAACAAAGTTTCCATAACACAGATAAAGTTCAAACTTCACACTGGAGCTTCACACACGAGGACTTCTCATACCGAGGCTTACCTCACACACAGGCTTCTCTCACAAAGGTCTACCTCACACGGGGAGGCATTCTAACAGACTGAGACCTTTCTCAGACCCACTGAGGTTTACCTCATACTGACTGCTACTATGCTACAGGCACACCTGCTTATATAGAACTGCAGCTTTTGCTGAGTCATTGCATCCATTTAACCCTTTCAGTCAGGGGACCCAAACTAAGTCCCGGGGGCTGAATACTGCCCTCCAAGGTCATTTACCTGGCCCTCGCTCAGGGTCAACCTAAGTCTGAAATGACTTGAAAGCACACAACAACAACAATCCTATCTCATCAGCCAAAAGCATGCCCACACTTCCCATTGAAATACTAATAAGTTTATATTTGTTAAAATTGTTCTTCATTTTAATTATTGTATTGTTTTAAAGTATTTTTTGCACTACATATATGATATGTGCAGTGTGCATAGGCATTCATTCATGGTTTTTTTTTCAAATTATAATCTGGCCCTCCAACAGGTTGAGGGATTGTGACGTGGCCCTCTGTTTAAAAAGTTTGAGGACCCCTGCTTTCAGTGCTTGACTCACATTTTTGTAATTAAAAATACTTAGTTAGTGGGTTGTTGTAGGTTTTTTCAGGCTATATGGTCATGTTCTGGAGGCATTTTCTCCTGACTTTTCGCCTGATCTATGGCAAGCATCCTCAGAGGTAGTGAGGTCTTTTGGAACTAGGAAAATGGATTTATATATCTGTGGAATGACCAAGGTGTGACAAAGCACTCTTGTCTGTTGGAGCTAGGTATGAATGTTTCAACTGACCACCTTGATTAGCATTTGATGGCCTGGCAGTGCCTGGGGCAATCTTTTGTTGAAAGGTGATTAGATGTCCTTATTGTTTCCTCTCTGTTGTTTTGCTGTTGTAATTTTAGAGTTTTTTAATACTGGTAGCCAGATTTTGTTCATTTTCATGGTTTCCTCCTTTCTGTTGAAATTGTCCCCTGTGTATTTCAATGGCTTCTCTGTGTAGTCTGACATCGTGGTTGTTGGAGTGGTCCAGCATTTCTGTGTTATCAAATAATATGCTGTATCCAGGTTGGTTCCTCAGGTTCTCTGCTATGGCTGATTTCTCTGGTTGAAGTAGTCT